GTAAGAAAAATGATACTCTTTACGCTTATTGGATTGATGGCCCTAAAGGCGGTAAAGCACTAATAAAAGCTCTTTGTAAAAACGCTACTCTGACTTCTTTAAATATTGGATTTACTAAACTTGGATCTGAGGTAGGAGAAGATTTAGCAGAGGCGCTTTGCAACAATGCTGTTTTAAAATCTTTGGTGCTTAAATCTTTGAAACTAAGTTCTGGAGGAGAAAAGGCATTCGCAGCTCTTTATAAAAACACAACTCTAACCTCTTTAGATATTTCAGATAATGAACTTGATTTTAAGGGAGTTAAGATACTAGCGGAGACTCTTTATAAGAATACAACCTTAACCTCCCTGAATATTAGTAAAAATGAACTCAGCTCGGAAGGAGAAAAATTATTAGCGGATGCTCTTTGCAAAAACACCACTTTGACTACTTTAGACTTTTCAAGTAATAGTTATAGTTCTGAAGGAGGAAGAATATTAGTAGAAATTCTTTGCAAAAACACTAATTTAACTACCCTAATTCTTTCAAAGAATATGCTTAGTCCTAAAGCAGGAAAGGCAATAGCAAAACTTCTTCATGTGAACACCACTTTGACTTTGTTAGATCTTCTTCATAACAAACTTGGATCTGAAGGGGGGATGGCATTAGCAGAAGCTCTTTGTAAGAACGCAACTTTGACTACTTTGAATCTTGGGTATAATAAACTTGGTTCAGAAGGAGGAAAAGCATTAGGCAAAGCTCTTCGCAAGAATACTACATTAACTTCTTTGTATCTTAATAATAATAATTTGGGTTCTGAAGGAGGAAAAGCATTGGCAGAAGCTCTTTGCGAAAACATTACTTTGACCTTTTTAAATCTTGGAGAGAATCGGCTCGGTTTTGAAGCAGGAAAAGCATTAGCAGAAACTTTTTATAAAAACACTTCCTTAACTACTTTGGTCCTTAATAAAAATCAACTTGGATATGAAATTTTATTAAGGGCTCTTGGTAAAAACACAACTCTAACTACTTTGGATTTTTCAAACAATGAAATTAATTCTGCGGCAGGAAAAGCACTAGCAGAATCTCTGTGTGAAAACACTACTTTAATTTCTTTAAATATTTCGTCTAGCCAAATTGGACCTGAAGGAGGTAAAGCATTGGGAAAGGCCTTTTATAAAAATTCTACTTTAACGACTTTAGACCTTTCGAATAATAGACTTGATTCTGAGGCAGGAAAAATATTCGCAGAGGTACTTTGTAAAAACTCTACCTTAACGTCACTGAAGCTTCAATTTAATGATTTTGATTCTGAAACTGGAAAAGCATTTTCAAGAGCTATTTGCAAGAACAAAACTTTAACTTCTTTAGATATTTTTAAGCCCTGTGGATTTAATTTTGAAGCAGGAAAACTTATAGTAGATGCTCTTTGCAAAAATACCACTTTAACTTACTATAGGCATTCATGTTCTGAACATCAAGGAATATTAGTAAATATTCTTAAAAAAAGCGCTAGAGCATCTTTATTACGAAATTTTAATTTTATGATGTAAGATTGTTTGCCTATAATAAATGGGAGTTTGTAATTTTTTATTACAAACATTCGCCATGATGATTATAGATTTAAATAACTATATTAATACACGTTTTAATCAATGTAGTTGAATCCGCTGTAACGATTCTTGTTATATACTTGGAAATAATAAACTGCTTTCTTTATTTTTATATTGCATAAATGTCAGCATTTAATAAAAACCTGTTAAGTTTGAAAATTGAAGAAACTTGATGAAAAAAAACTTAACCCCTTGATAATAATAGTCAAAATTCATTGATGTTAGAGATGGGCTAAATTGGTTACATACGGTTATTTAATATATAGAACATATGGGCGAATCGACGGAATGAACTTTTTTAGGCTCTTAAATCTTCAAACAAATAACTTTGATCAAATGGTCTGTTTTGGATGATTTTACCATTAAAGTGACCGCCTCGATGAGACGATTCCAACGAACCTAAAATCGATAAAATTCGATCACAGGATTATGAGATTGTTAAAGATCTGTGTGTTCACAGATGGGCATTACCAATTAATATTTGTTATTAGATTTTCATAAGTAATTGCTGTTAATTCTAACCTCATCGATAAGTAATCTCCAATCACTAATTGATGTAGAACCAGTTCAAACAAATGTATATTTAGAGATTACGACGGGGGGGGTTATCGCTCTTTTCGATTTAGTTGGGTCGATGATCATAAGTTTTTTGGGTCCCGTGAGTTCTGTGATTATGTCATTTCAACTTCGTCAGACTCATTTATTTGTTCATATATTTCCCTTTTATCGATAAATAAAGTTTCACAAAATATAAGTACGTAATAATAACAGATAAATTGGATCACATTTCTATTTATGTAAATTACGTATATCGATATCACTTGACCAACTAATTCGGATCTAGCCGAGTTTAAATCCGGTCTCTGGGTTTCAGACTCTTGGATCAGGCCACATAGTTTAAGTTGGTAACACGTAAATGCATAATGAAAAAACAAGTTTACAGAAATGAGAAATGATCATCATCATTTACTAAAGTATCTTTTAGTGTCAAAAACTACTAACCAAAGTAGGAATTATCTTTGAAAAAAAACGTTATATAAGTTCAGAATATCATCTTTTTCTATTATAAGTTTTCTTAATTGATTTCTTTGAAATATCTAAAACCATGAATCCCGGGCACAATCGCAAACCTTTTGTTGGTGGTATGTTTGTTGACGAACGATAATGGTTTATTTTGATGGTTATTTAATTAACATCTTAATTTAATTTCAATCAAACAATAGGTAATTTTAAAATGAATGGGTCGAGAACTATGGTGAAGGAAATAATAGATAGACTGAATGCATTAAAATTGAATGATCATGTTGGTGAGTTTACTAAATTTGATGACAAAAACAATTTTTTTTAAAAAAAAACCAATTTTACCTCTAAATTTATATAAATTATAGAAGTGGTAATCGCCCCACCTACGTTGTATATCGATCAAGCCAGTAAGTCTGTTGGTGAGGGCATTAGCATTGCTGCTCAGAATGCTTTTAATTGTACTAAAGGGGCCTACACTGGTGAGATCAGGTAAGATCGATTTTTGGAAAATGAAGAGTTGTCAATAAATCCTGCTAAAAAAAAATTTTTTTGATTTTAAAAACAAAAGCCCTGAACAATTAAAAGACGTTGGCGTTAATTGGGTAATCTTGGGTCACTCAGAACGTCGGGATATCTTTAAAGAGGCTGATGATGTATGATACAAATTATGGTGCAATGTATTGGTTTTTTTCGTCTTAATATTTCTCATTCGGACTCATTTCGTTTCTATGTAAGTTTGTCGCTTCTAAAGTAGCACATGCCTTGAGAACTGATATGAAAGCCATAGTCTGCATTGGAGAAAAATTGGAGGAACGAGAAGCTAATCAAACCAAAGAGGTTGTGATCAGACAACTTCAAGCCGTGGCTAATAATATCGATGATTTGAAAAAATGGGAAAATGTTGTGATTGCTTATGAACCTGTTTGGGCTATCGGTACAGGAAAAGTAGCAACGCCAGAACAAGTATGGATAATGACTGTAACTAGCACATTTAGACATTTTTCACTATTATT